ATTAGATTAAAGAGTTTAAAAGAATTTTTAGAAGGGGGAATTTATATTAATACTGTGCAATATGTTACATAGGAAACACGTGATAAATAAGCAACTAGTCACTTAGCACCTAGTAACTATTACTTATCAAAATTTAAACTTTAACAAATAACAATACACATAAAGCTATGAAAGCTTACAATATTTTTCATCTTTTCAACCACTCATCAAATTTATAGAGGTAATATCGGAGAAACATCTTAGTTTGAAATAAAAAGTAATGCTGTTTTTGAACAGCTATAGCTTGACATAAAGAGCCTTTATCAATATTATGAGTTCATTTTTTAAAAAAACCAGATTGGTTACACAGATCAGAATATTAATAACCAACTGGTGTGGCAAATCATCTGACTGTTAATATTAATATGCGTAATGTCGATTGAATTCATAATTTCGTGACGAGAATTTTGATAAATAATAATAATAATAAATACATATTTATTTTATAAAATAATAAGTTTATAGAATTAATAAAAATAAATTGACATGTTGAATTTAGGAGTACATGTAATTCACATATTATTAGCAGAATTTGATATTGATAAAGGTTCATCCTTAACTCACCAATATCCAGTGGCCACTGGTACTGCTGAAAAGTATGTATATATTATTATTATAATATAACTAATGTTAACTATAAGAAACAAAATTTATTTAATTTAGAATAATTGTATATTAATAGTCTTTTAGCAGAACTTATGTTACCAGATGGTGCACATTTAAGAACCGAAGATTGGACCGTGTTTTTCTTGAATCAAAAGACCCCTGATCCTGATAAAATAATATCATCATCACTTGATGAAATTAATGTTACAAAAGATGAAGATGAAGATAATATGCCTTTGTTGTATGCTTTGAATCTTGTAAGAACAAAGTATGACAAGGAAGCAAGAAGGTAATTATTAAATTAATGATGTTGTTATTTTTAATTCACTACTTATAATTATTAATTAATTGACTAGAGGAGCAGTTGTTAAAGCAATGGCAATATGCACTAGACATCAATACTTGCACATATATAAAGTAAAGAGATTTATTAATTAATTAATCAATATTTAATATCTAATCTAAATATGAGTTATTGCATGTTTCTGCATTCAATAATTGGTTTATTGTATGTCTGACTATGAAACATTCCAAAATTTCCAGATGGAAGTTTTGGGCAGACATGCAATAATGGAAAATTTAACACATAAGCAGACATACAATAATAATCATTACTATATAACACCTCTTACTAAATAGTATCCATATTAATTAATATATTATTTAGCCAGTGCTTTTATTGGCACTTGACAAATATTTTCAAAATCCAAGTGTTGAATGTCTAGCTTTATTATATGATGCTGTCAACTCGATGGATGTCAACAATATGCCACACTTTTCACCACATGAGAAAGTAATTTTAAGAACTTCTGAGAATAAAGATATTTTTGAAGAAAAATTCTCTACTTTTGAAACTAATAAACATGAAAGCTCCGGTAAACATATATGAATATTATTAATGGTTTATTAATTATCATTATTATCATCTATTATTATTTATCATTGAACTTTTAAATTTATATTTTTTTTTTTGTAATAATGAATAATGTAGAAACAACATTAAATCTGAATAAGAATAAAGATAGACATTTCTTTGAAACAAAAATTCTTTATAATGGTATCAAACTTCCCATCAGAGTGCCACTTACTGTCAATCCAGAAGAAGTTGGAGACGTAAGTGACCTAAATTTTTATTATTTGCTTTTTTCAAAATTTCAAAATTTCAAACCCGCCTACTTTATCTGATCAATCAATTATCAATTTCATAAATAAACTAGTTCTCATTAATAAAATTAATAACAACTTTTACACCATCATCACCAACCACATTCACTCATCCATTCCATCCACACTTAGACTCAAGTGGTAATCAAACTCATCCGATAATTTTACTTTTGAATGCTCTATTGACACAGAAAAGAATCATTTTTTTGGGTCAAGGTCATCCATCTGGCGAAGTGGCTAATTATGTATTGTCTGCTTGTGCTATGGGAAGTGGTAGTGGTGGCGTACTAAGGGGGTTCACTGAACGTGCATTTCCCTATACCAACTTGACAAATGTTGATGATTTATTAAAGGTGTAAGTGAATCTTGAAAATAATTTGTTTTTTTTTTAATTTTATATATGCCACACTAAAATATCATATTAAATATAAACAATACAAACAAAATTCAGACCCGGATTTATAGCAGGAGTGACTAATAGAATTTTTGAAGATCATAGTTCATGGTGGGATGTGCTTTGTAATATTGATACTGGCAAGATAACTGTTAGTAAGGATATTTCAACTCCATCATATGGCACAAACCCAGATGAAAGATTAGATGAATCAACCAAATCTCCTTCATCTAGTAAATCAGAATCTTGGGGAAGAGATAAATGGGACACAACTGATAATGAATTCATGGCTGAAGTAAATTTTGTTATTATTTTTTGTTATATTTTGAGATATATTATATATTTATTTATTCATATAAAAACCAAAAATAAATAAAAAGGTAATGCATGCAATTCAACATCATTATGGTGAAACAACAATTAGATGCAAATTTCAAGAATATGTTCAACGTTTTGTACGCTTAACAGCTCTTTACGAGGTTGAGACTTTTGGATCTACAAAAATTGATATGATGCCTGAAAATACTGATCATGGTGGCATCCTTGGTACTGGTCTTGCATTTCAAGATGAGAATTCTAAATTGAGAGAGGTGGCTACTAATGTTAATCGTATTGAAGGATGGAGGCAGACTATCTCTTACAAATACTATCAAGTGGTAATAATATTATTGTTATAGTTATTATATTAGTATGATTATTATAGTTATAAAATAATGAAATATTTATTATATGTATTCTTATTAATTATTGTTTATGTGTTTGTTTGTTTGTTAGGATTTTCAAAAATATTTACGAACTAGAAGCATTAAAGCATTTGATGTCTATCATCAAGTCTCCAAACTGAAAAATCTAAAAAATATGCAAGAAGAAGAAGTAGAAACATTATATAAAGCTCTGATGACAAATGTTGTAACTGATGAACAAATAATTGAGGTGAAGACAACTTAAATTTGATTTAATATGATTTGATTTTTAATTTGATTGTATATGTCAGGATGTGAGTGACAATAATATGTGCAGTTCTATATTATTAAAAATCTTTTATTTATGTTTTAATATATATATATATAGTTTTTATCATATTTACCACAAAATCAAGGTGGATTATTTCCAATCGGATTTGGATTATTTTACCCTTTGAAAAGTGTAAGAAATTATACAATTGAATTATTTAATAGAATAAATACTCATACTGTAAGTAATAAATTTTCTGCTTCATCATTCAAATTACTTTATTGTTGCTAACATCCACAAAAAATCTATATACAACTAGACCGGTAGTAAATTTATTCTAAGTTTAAACTATTTTCAAAAATTTGCTTATGAGAGACAACTGGCCAACCTTCACGAAAAACAACAACAAATTGAAATGGCAAGTAGAATGTCTCAACAAGATTTTGATGATACTGATAATGGGGAAATGGTGATGGCTCAATAATGATCAATTGGATTTTTTTAAAATAATATAAATTTTTTTTAATATAATTTGTATTATTATATATAATATAATGTATTTATAGAAAGAAGTAATTAATTTAATAATATTTAATAAGCATATTATATTAATATTAATATTAATATCTAATAAAAAAAATACAGCAAAAATCTTGCGTATTTATATTAACTTTTGTGCTACGCGTTATTCCTTCAAAAAAAAAATATATCACAACTCTAAGAATATGTATACTGGGATGTGGAACCATGGGTCAAGCAATTTTATCAGGGGTTTAAAGTCGTTATCAAATGACACCAATATTACAGCAGCAAGTGGTAATTAAACTACTACAACCACCTTTAATCCAAATAAATTCACTTGCTTATGTGTCAAATGAAGAATCAACTAAAAAATTATCGAAATCACTTAATAATGAAAATGTTTCTGTTTTATCAGGTGAAAATATCAAAGATGTAAGTGAAGCTGATGTTATAATATTGTGGTAATGTCTATATAAAATTAATTAATAAACTATTATTATTGTCGTGGTTATTATTATTATTATTATTATTATTATTATTATTATTATTATTATTATTATTATTATTACTATTATTATTATTATAAGTTTACAAATTCATCATTTAAAAAGTTTTAATTGAAAAAGGAATGTTCAGGGCATTAGAGAATAAATTATTGATTAGTATATTAACTGGTGTTCCAATGTTTCAATTAAACAAATTGATTCCTACTTCTACTAGAGTCATACGTGCTATGCCAAACATTCCTTGCATGGTTCATATATGTTATTTATTTATCTATTTATTTATTTGATGTCTGTATAGATTTCAGACATTAGGTAGAGTCAGATTCCTAGATGAAAAACATTGATGTTTTCTGCATTTTTTTGGTAAGTAGTTATGATTTTTATGATTTTTGTAATACGATAACAGCCAATGATAGAATTTTTAAACTTTTAGGGATTTCTAAATTTAGTAAATTTAAAAGGTCAGTGATTTGTTATTTTTAAGGCATCAACAGTAAATATACCCATATGCTCCTTTCATATTTTTGTTGTGTCGACATATGGCTATAGCTTGGCAAGAGACTGGTTAGCCGCCTTACTTTGGTGCTTCAGTTTTTGCTGTTTCTTCTTGTATAGATATGGTTAAGGGAATTTTGACAAGATGTCATACCTACTACACTCATATGCTCCTTTCACATTTTTATTGTGTCAACATATGGCTGTAGCTTGGCAAGAGACTGGTTAACCGCCTTACTTGACACTTCAGTTTTTGCTGTTTCCTCTTATGTAGATACGGTTAAGGGAATCTTGACCAGAATGATGCAATTTTTACTTACTAGCTTTTTTTAAATTTTGACTCAAATATGTATGGAGGTTAATTGTTCTGTTTTTTATGCAATATTTCACTTTACTTTGAGGGATTGTCTCAAATATGTTTCAGAACACAATGACATAAATGCAGAAAATATTGATTCAATTCTTGAAATTACACAAAGCAAGTTGGTATTAATTTATTAATTAGCAATAACCCAAACATGTTTTCTCATGGATGAGAGAAAGCTCATTCTCTTTATGTTTCATTTAACAAGTCAATAAAAAGACCTGAAGTCAAGGATTGGATTGATATAATAAAAAAAGGGTAAGTTATTTTATTTATATGAAGTCAACAATGAGTCTGAATGAAATATATATAATTTTTACAGAGTATATATAAATATAAAGAGCTATCATATAGAGAAATAGTCAGAATCGAAACTTTAAATCATAAAGATAGAAGTTGTACCAGAAATAATATTGAATATAAAACAAAAAGATCTGAAGACCCACATTCTGATGATTCTTTTCTACTTAAAAGGCTCAAAGTTAATTGCTTGACCCTTAGTGTTTGTTTTATAATAGATAGCATATTTATTCTAATATGGGGCATACTGCAACAAAACCAGACAAAGTGAACATTTTATTATGTGATATGAATGAGAGGCTGATTGTGATG